ATATGTATATGTCTATATATATATATATATATATATATATATGTATGTATATATATATATATATAGATATAAGCAGATTTAATCATATTTAAATATGTCAATGTTAATCATGAATATATGGATGTAAATCTGGATAAATGCAGTTATAGATCTAAATATAGTTATAAAATAAATCTGAAACTGTTATATAACATAGTTTTAATTCTGAATAAATAAATGTAAAATCCTGAATATGTACATTTGAATTGCATATATATTTATAAATACTGAATGTAAATGTTATATTTTACATTTTTCAATTTATTCTTTCCACTCAAAAATGTGGTTAAGTTTGGCAAAGTACACCCATTTACTTTAGAAATGTAAAAGTCTGTTTCTTAAATATTTTGCATGAAATTTAAGATGTTTGTGATTATTAATTCAGATTAATCAGACTGTTTTCTCTCTCTCTGTCTCTGCAGTTCTTCAGCACCCTCTTTGCACCACTGGGCTTTTTTGCAGACAAGATGGAGAGTTTTATGCCCTCCTGCCTGTGGCATCAGCTAGCAAACGTCTGACGTACACACACAGCTCACACATACTTGCACTTGAAAACACTACTGTACATGTAACACATGTGTAAGGTGCCCGTTAGCCACCTGTACTGATAATAAAAATGTTATGGCTCTTTGACGCACTTTGCCTTCTCTTTTCCTGTAGTATTTAATGCCTTCTAACATGGTTGTGTAGAACAGCAGAAGTCAATATGAACATGTTGACTAAATGCCGTTTCTCAACCTCTGTGCCGTAACTGCCTCTAATCCCGCTTAAATATGCCTGCTATGGCCGCAGGGCAGGTTGCCACAGTGATATAGTGCTGATGCAATCATTGAAGAAAAAAACTGGCCTTGTGTACCCTGAAGATTCGGCAGTAAATCATGTGTCTGTTTTTAGAGGACCTCACTAAACAAAAGTTCAGATCCACAGCATGAGGTTGAGTTGGTTGCACAGATGAAACTGTGTGTTCATACAATACTAGTCTTTATCATCTTATAAAATGAAGGCTTGAAGACATTGCAATTAAGAATTTTACATTAGAAAAGACTCATGCATTGCGGTTGTGGTCATGAATATCGATCTGTTTATATATGATAGTATGTTGTTCTACAAAATGCCAGATTTGGATGATATTTTTTAGGCCAGTTCACACTAAGGATGATAACTACACTGAACAAAATTATAAACGCAACACTTTTGTTTTTGCCCCCATTTTTCATGAGCTGAACTCAAAGATCTAAGACTTTTTTAAAGTTTTAAAAATCATTCTGTTTACACCACAACTATAACGGTAACGGTATAGACTAGAGGAACAATAATGTCAGAATCACTTTTAGAAAGATTTTAATAATCCATTCTGCTTTAATAAAGAGCTCAAGTATTTAAAGCGGCAGACTGCAAACCTTCAGTACGCTTATACAGAACAGTATTGTGCATTAAAGTGGACACTAATGTAGTTACAGTATCGTTATAGTTCTCTTTATAGTTATAGTTCTTGGCTTTAATGGGTAATGGTTCTGGAGATGATGAAATCATGTTGCACATTCACATAATTGTCAGGGAGGCAGAAAAGACTTATCAGAATGTTTCACCAAAATATTGAATGTTAAAAACATGGGCAGGACATTTTAATGACACTTACAATGCCAATCACATTGGCGTTGTTAAAAAAAGACTTACGCTATAGGGAAGTAACCAAAAGAATAACAACGTGCAGTAAAACTGTTTGCACTACAAACCAGTGTGTTCATAAATAAGATAATACATTAAAATAATAAGACACAGCAATTTGCAATATCAAGCAGCAAAACTAGTTGTTTCTGTACATCTAAAAAATAGCTGGACGCGGATGAGACCGGAAGCCCGACCCATAAAATGTACAAATCCGCACTTACGGGAAAAAAACAAGTGGTTAACTTAAGTAATTCTGTTTTATTTATATAGCATCTTTCTAACATGAAAAACTGCTTTAACGAGATAATCATAGTCATATTTTAATTTTACAATCTTTTATGAAGGAATCATGTTATTTGCATTCCTAAACGTTTTCTTTCAGTTGTATTGATACTTAAAGGTAGTTTTTTTGGCGGGCTTTGTTTTCAAGGCGGCAAATGTATGTTGCGCGCGGGAGGCATGTGATGCAGAAGGCAGGTCAGTACAAAACATTCAATTAAATAAATACCGTTATGTTCAATTCATACACGCAAGGTGTTGCCATTTGTCTCCTCATCCACCTTTTTAACGTAATAGCGGACGTGGGCATTTTTAACGCGGACGTTCAAGGTTTCCGATTTCTGCTGCTTCCAGTTATTTTAACTGTAATGCTTATTCTGTCGTTTGACTACTACAGTTTCTCAGTATGTCATTATTCAGGTGTAAATGATTATCCAGACCTCTCCTGACAGAGAGTTATCATGTTATATTCGAACCGTCATAGACATTAAAGGGCAAGAAGTTCCTGAGGATTATTTTAGTGTGTTTTTTTCCTGTTATGTGCCACTTTGAGTTTTGTAAGTATTTTCTGATTGATTTAACTTTTTTTTTCTTCTGTATATATGGCTACTGTAAATAGTGAACATCACTAAGTGGGTTTTACCAACCTGTAAATAAACACACTTCTCCTTTAGTTCCTGTCCTACTGTGAGCGCTGCCACCTCTTGATGTGGGGATGGAGTCTTCTAACTGGGTTACATCATGAATGGAATATTAGCATAATCGTTTCTGCATATTGTACAGTAGGCCTATACACTAAATATGGCATATGCATATACTAGTTATTTGTATATAATAACTATACTATTACACATATACTAGTATACTATTGTTTAAAATTAGTATGAAGCAGTGCTAAACATTCTATTGTTGTTTGACCTCAGGTTTAATTCAGCAAATTACATCTAATTATAAAAAAAAATTGTATTACACTGCTGTTCAAAAATGGGAATTCTGAATAAGATTTTGTAATGTTTTTGAAAGAAGTCTCTTATGTTCGTCAAGGTAGGGTTCATTTGATCAAAAAAATTTTTTTGACTAAAACTAATATTGTGAAATATTAATTTTTTTTTTTTAAATACTTTCTATTTTAAAAACGAATCTATTCCTGTGATGGCAAAGCTGAATTTTCAGTATCATTACTTAAGTTCTCAGTGTCATGCAATCCTTCAGAAATAATTCTGCTGATGCAGATGATATAATATGCTCAAGAAACATTTCTTATTGTTATCAATGTTGAAAACAGTTCTACTGCAAAATAACAAGATTAGAAATACATGTAGTTGTTTTTAACATTAGTTTTATAGTTTCTTAAAGTCATGTGTGTTATTGCCTATGATGGCTGCTGAAGTTACACGGTGTTGTTCAAAATTCTTTCCCAGGTTTTGCTCCAGTGTCTTTAAAGTGCAGCTATTCCTCTCAACATATTTGGCATGGACATGGATGTTCACAGCTACATATGAGACGAATGCATAGTGTCTGATCATCAAAGGTCCCGCTACCACCTGCTTTCTTTGGCAGTCGTCCATACAACGGTCAGACGGGGTCATGCAGGGTCTGTATGAAGCTCCATAAGGTACTGCATGTAGAGTAGAAAAGAGCCAAAAAGACCGGTGATGTTTATCCAGTGTTTATAATGTTTATTCAGTGATATATTTACAAACAAACACTGCTTAAAGAGGTTAATGTCCCAGAAAAACAACCCGGCGAATGCCTGTGAAGGATGAGGGCATGTTTCGCTTGATATCATCGCAGGCCTTGACAGAGCTGGTGGCCTACAGCTGGATTAAGTACATTTGGGGGTGTCTTAACTGGTGCTCTCCAGGGGTCTGGATTTGTTCAGGTTGGCAGTTTACTGCAGGCTTAAGCCTCCGAGTGTAACAAAAGCTAGTGACAGCCAAGCAAATAGTGTTTGCAGCAGATACTGTCGCATGAGATCCTATGCAAATCTTTGCTGTGTTAAATTAAATCTGTGTCTGTATTACAGCATATCATGTCTCTCTTATATTGCCTTAGTGCTTACACGACACTGTTTTCAACAAAAAATGATAAACTTGTGTTTTGGCCATTCATTTACACAAATAACTGCATTTTGGGGAAATGCAAAAGCGCAAATTTTTGAAAACTGGTTTGAAAGTGAAACTTTTTGAAAATGATACCATTATTGTCTGTCTAAACTAAAAAAATGCTAATTTGTGAAAACGGTGTCATCATGCATGTGTGTATTATGTGTTCAGTCTGTAGGCATGCGCAGGCGTGTAGTGTTTCTTTAAAAAGTGATATTGCCAATTACAACATTTTTAGTCGTTTTTGCGGGTATCATTTTGACAGTGTTGCCATCTGCATGTGAAAATTTTAAAAAACGCAAAGGAAAAACTTCCACAGGTTTTTTCCCAGTAAAATTCTTAGGGTATCTGATTTTAACAGTACTTAAGTATTTTACTCATACTAAATGTAGGCTCAACGATGCACTAGTCTAGTCCTCAAACACCTCAAAATTGCAATAAATCAAGGTCGACACAGCTTCTTAAACTCTGAAGTCTCGGTTAAGCTCAAGTACTTAAAGGGGTCATCGGATGCAAAATTCACTTGTATATGTTGTTTGAACTAAAATGTGTCTTGGCAGTGTGTGTACACTGAAAAAATGTTTCAGGGCAAGTTATTTATTTTTCATTGGCTCAAGTTAAAAAATATAGATGTGAATCATTACCCTAAATTTTTTAAATTGGATGAATTAAACATTTTTTTCAGTGTACACAACCACCCTATAATGATAAAAATCCCAATAAATCATAAGCACTGTCTCAGATCAAGCCATTCACAGATTCTTGGCAGAGTGACATCACACAGACCCAGGCCACTCCCACGATTGTTGACTGACACTGGCGTTTAAGCATAGACCCACCCTGACTGAGCTGTCAACAGTCCGCCATTGTTTCGACGCCGGAGCAGGTGTAGACAAGAATGTCTCCTAAGCAATTGAGGTGTAATAATGAACATAGCAGTCGTCATTTAATCTCGACATCTGAGCCACTGAAGACACAGTGGATTTCTTTTGCTTTTGAGGGGAAAGCGCCCCCCATTCTACCTAATCAAGTCTATGTTCGTGTGAATCATTCGTGATCCAGCTTCACCTACAGAAGCAGTGAGTATAAGGTTCTTTTTAATGAATCTTTGCAAATCGCTTTTCCTAATAATGTGCTAGTTAGCAAGTTCCACGACAAATGCGGCTAAAGTTTACAGTCTCATGAGAACAGCTCGTCACCTCAAGGAAGAGAAGGGCGGGGTGAGCAGAGCTCATTAGCATTTAAAGGGGCATGCACCGAAACGGGCCGCTGTGAACAGAGTTGTTTTTGACAAAGTAAAAAGGGTGTTGTTTTACACTACCATTGAGAAATTTTTACCAAATTATGTTATAGACTTTTCATTAAGACCCTAAAGAATCATATCAAGTTGTGGAAAATGGGCATCCGATGACACCTTTAAAAAGGGCGTAAGTAAATCAGTATCCTTCTAAAAGCTCTCAGCCATGTCCTCATCTCATATGCTGTATGAAATACATGTGATTCAGCAACTACCTGCACTCGCATTCACATAAAGTAGCCTTGTTGACAAGTTTGGGTGAGTAAAGGCAAAACACAAGATGTAATAACTTCAATGCTCTAGATGGCGATATCACTTCTTTTGTAGCAGAAATACACTGTTGCAGAAATAGTTAGGCACCATGTAAAATGTAATTGCGTTACTCATCACAAGTGTATTGGTGTAAAGAGTACATATATTTATTCAACAATGAAGTCAAGTAGAGAGTAAAAGTTGCTAATATTTTTAATTCTCAGTAAAATTACAAAGTAGCCAAAAAGATACTTAAGCACAGTTGCATGGCAAATCCGAACTATTTTATGTTTAATCGAATTGTTGGCAAATTCATATGAATTTGTACATTCTCAACTGTATGTTTTCACATGATCTGCTTAAGCCCCATTGACTGTTAGGTTTTGGAATGAGATTAGGTTCGCATCTTTGTTTTTTTTCTAAATATCGTACATTTTTGTACAATTCAAATTGTACAAATTCGCTGAATTGTAAAGTTATGTAGTTATGTTGTATCAAATCTAGGGACAAGAATATTTTAGACACTATGGATGGGCCTGTCATCTAGCAACTGCATAGCAACACCCTGACAACCACTCACCACAACACCCTAGTATCTAGGTCTGGGTAGTTGCTACAATGTTGCTTGCTATTCTGGGGTGCGTTTTCCAAAAGCATCGTAAGCTAACTGGTCGTTAGTTCAATTGAACTCTATTGGTAATGACGGAACTGTATTTATTTATTTATTTATTTAGTCATTTAGCAGACTAGTCAGGAACTTGCGACCATAGTTCCTTTTGGGAAACGCACCACTGGCTGGTTGCTAGAGTACTGCTATTAGGAGTATTTGCAGTTGCTAAGGTGTTTCTCATATCTCTTCACAGATCTCCATCTCAAAACGTCTTTAACAAAAATAAAGAGCTCTGATTCTACTCCCTGTAGTGCTGCTGTGCCTCTGTTTTGGAAGTTTTGGAAGAGCTACATTCTTGCCAGTTGAGTTGTGTTATGTGTCTTTATGTGTTAATCCAACGCCGCCGGCCTGTAAGCTCCGTCTGACAGCAAGCGTGCTAACGCTTCCACCCACACGCTTCTGCGAGCCAAGCCACACTCGTCCCCAAAGGTCACGTATATATAACGCTTATCTCCCTATAAATCTGCCCTCAAGACCAAACACTTGCTGTGGATCTGTGGGCTAAAGCCTGCAGTGGGAAGTACACCGTTCCCAATGCAGCTTTCTTGTATGAGCAAGAGTATTCGTAAGGACGCAAAAGTATTTTTAAGTGGTGTAGTAGTAACCAGTACTTGGTTAGTACTTGGTTTAGTAAGAGACTAAAATAATATTTGCTTATGCAAAATCCAGTGAATGTCACATTCAGTATTGTTTGCCATATGAAAATTGTAATTAAAATTACTTAGAAAAGTAATAGCACACCTCGCTTGAACACATACATGATTTAAGGCAAGACATACGTTTTTTCATGCATCTGTCAATTTTGAGATTAGTCTTTTTGAATTATCATGAAGTATTTTTTCAGACTAGTGGAAAGAAAACATCCAAAACACACTTTTAAGTGTTTCTTTTATAGCACTTTATCTATTTGCGTCTGTAGATTTCAATTACAGTCCATATAGAGGTGGGCGATATGACCAAAATCTTATATCATGATGTGAGAAATTTTATTTCACGGTAATGACATATATCACAATATAGTTGTTTTTGCTTTAAATAAAGTCTTTATGATATCAACATTTTGATAGAAATGTCATAATTATTAACACCAGTGTCAATATCACAAAAAAATGTATATTAGCCAAAATTTTAAAAAGTAAACAGTCGGCGATTAAATAAGAATAAGAAACTATGCAAAATGCAAAATGTCAAAAAACTACAGTAGAACAAATAAATGAGAAATGCTACATACATTGTATAAAGTAATCAAATGTATAACAATACTGTATATTCCTCACTGTGTAAATTATATATATTTATATAGAATTTAAATATTCTTCTTATTACAAAAGTGATTTAGCTGTCACTGCCCGGACACAATATGCTGTTACACGTGTTTTCTTTCTCAGCTGTTTGCTTTCACTTAAGGCCTAAATTGCTGTTTATGAGGATACTTGCAAAGATGGGCATTTTGACACATACAAGTGTGTGTATTTAACCGTTCAAGGCCTATAAAGCGGCAAAAATAACTCTTCAATATGCACTTTGAGCACTGTCTTCACATGCGCACGCCTCTCTGACAGTGCGCACATATAGCGAAATAAGTTCTCTTTCACTACTGATTGCATTTCAATGGCTTAAAATCACTTGTTTTTAAACCACAATACATAAAAACGCATGCAAACGAAAAGTTTTCAAGACCATGTAGCACAGCAACATCACATGAGCGTGTAACCGCCATAAAGACGGTTAAAAATAATAATAGTAACGGTTAATTGTGTCTATGAGCCAAAAATCTCCACTTCAGCAGCACTTACATACACCAGACTTTACAGTTTTATTCCTATCTATATTCTTAAGGTTCTTACAGAGGGATTTGTTCTAAAAATGTATGCAAATTATTGCATATTTAATTAGATAACACATAATTTGCATATTTAAACATAGCAACTTAATGTAATCAATCAACTGGGGAATATGGTGATATCTACTGGTTAATTATTTTTACCCTATTCAGCTGGGGTGTCCTATAACATAATATTCAGGTCCGCAGCACAAACAGTTATGTGTTAAAGTGTAACATTTAAGGTTATAGGGTTTGAAAAACTCATTCGCTACCCTATTTTTTTTACCTATATTGCTTCATTGAATTTTTAAGCAAATTTTTAACCTCAATATTAACATTTTAAAATCTAGTTCACGTTTTTTTCATTTATCTAGCTTTGAAACAGCTGGTTTATTTTCAGCATAACAAGATCGGTATCTTGGACAATTGACTGAAAATGAATGCAGCTGTAAAGACCACACACATATTAGGCTCTGAGGACATGATCACGTGACTCGACGGATATACACAAAGTCTTCGCCAAAGAAGAAAAGTTTTGAATGCTATGTTAGCTTTCAGCGCCTTGACTCTATCAATACGTCCTTGTACGGATTAGTGCTCTAATTAAAATGTTAGCCGATTCTGTTTAGGAACATACATAAATTTCAACACTAACCACATAGTGGTTACGCGCTGCCAAGGGGGTAATTTTACAATGTTCAAAAGTAAACATACTCTGACATGTTTTCCACAAGTCTTTCTCAACCCAAGTTTTTCTGGCAAAGACAAGGTGTGAGGTGGAACTGTTGAACAATGAAAAACATAATCAGACTAGCTGTGGGAAATTTCTGACATTCCACAATTGGAAAAATGTATCTTTGGATGAGTTGCTGAAAATGAAGCAACAATAGAGAGCTATTGGCGCCCTTTGAGACTTCAGTCTTGATATAAGAATTACAGAGGTGAAAGCAAATCCGGTCAAACAGCTTCAAGCAGCTCTGTCTTACAACGTGACACAAATTAGAATGGCTCGAGATCAGAATCGCTTGTGTGCAGGGGCCAAAATTAACACTCATCGAGTGCCAAAAAGGAGTAAACATTGGGTTTGGCGAATTAATAAATCTAAACAAGTTTTTTCAGGAACTGCAACATAATACATGGCTGAAATCAAATAGTGAGAATGATCATCTGAATTTTGATTATGGCTGATTTTTTTTTCTTCAGTTCTAATAATCAATAATATACAGTACAAACTAATGATTTAGAAAATTCTTTGGAAGTTCATATATATATATATATATATATATATGTGCTGTTTGGATATTGTTTGTATAGCAACGACTTTCCTTTTGGGCCTCTTTCGTCAATTGCAATTTGTACAATGACAAAATGAACTTCCACAGTCTTTACCTGACAAAGTTTCAGGTTGCTTTTGATTAATGGTGCCACCATTTTGGACATGCATTACTGACCATCGTGACAACCCAAGCGCTTCGTTCACTCATCCATCTTAACAGCAAATTTAGAAACAACCATGTTGTCAAACCAAGGAGCTTCATTCAGTGCAGCAAAATGAATGGCGAAGAATGCCAGTCATGCTTACCTGACTATTTTTGCTGCTCAATCTCAGTAAGCTGCTGTCTTATTTTAGCAATGATTTGACATTTAGAGTGGGTTTTACATGAGGACATATATGAACATATATATATATAGACATATATGAAGCAAGCAGTAAAACATTCAGAGAGGCCATTTAGTTCCATTTTTTTTTTTGTTTTGAATGGCTATTTCTTGAAGATCTGGTTTATAGTTGCTACTAACTATCTCAACCCAAACGCAAAGTATTTCAGAGATTTGATGCAACAAGCATTGAAAACCGGTTAATTCAACAAGCTTGTTGTAGCAAATTTATGCCTTTTTTATTCTCAGAAACTGCACAGAACCTATCAGATTTTAGTATACAATTTTGTATGTTGTGTGCGAAATTCATCTAATTCTGTGCAAACAGTCTGTGGTCATGGTATCTGATGGTTTGGACTCTTTATTTCAATAAACATCACATTTCACTGAAAAATCCATCAGGGAAAATATTGAGATACTGATCTAAAGTTTTTAGAACCAAACTCTACCAAACCAAAAAAAAGTGCTCATATTCAAAGGGATGTTTAAGTGCTTAGATATTAAAAAGATAACATGAAAGATATATTTCTCTGATATGCAATGACAATGGGATGTCACAATAGGCACTTTCGCGCCGCATAGTTCTAGGAACTTTGTTCTAGAAACTAGCCAGCATGGTGGTTCCTAGAGAATCAATTTCTCCCTTGGACCGTTTTCCAGCGTACACTGGTAGTTCCTATAGAACTGTTTTAGTCTCTACTCTGAAGTAGGAGCTAATTTAGTTCCCCAAAAACAGAGTTTCTAGAACAAAATACGTTCTAGTTCCTGTGGTGTGAACACACCAAAAACCGGGTACTTCCGCCAATAGTTCTAGGAACTATGAAAAGGTTCCTCCGGTGCGAAAGCGCCAAATAAATTGATCATTGATCAAATTCTTTCATGCATAAGTTGTGTATCAAAATGATGGTGCATGAAGTAAATGGGAAGCACAGTTATCACTGTTGAACATTTTTACAGCACCCTTCAAAGTATTATTTTGGACCATGAAGTGGAATTGTTCTTGTCGTGAAATGCGATTTGTTGCTATGTTCTTTGGGAATCTTGAACTGATGCTGTATATTGTTCTTTCCCTAAAACTCCATCAATGCATTTATCAAAGCTGTCCAAAAACATAATTTGATGTATATAGGCACAGATATTATCAGTAAAAGGTGTTTACAGTTTGAAAATAGTGAAAGGATTGTGTCCTGATCACAGTTCATTCTATTAAACACCAGACAATGCCCATTGTATGATTTCCCATGACACCAACCGTCTACCAGTGCTCCAGACTGGCCTGTGATCTCTGCGCTTGCATCATTGAAGGCGGGTAAAGTTCAGGGTTCTGCAAGTGGAGATCAGAGTGTTATAGTCAGAAACTACACATTCCACAATGCGTTGGCCCACTTCAAAAACCTGAGAACAGAAAAGCACCAGTAGCTGCTGATTGGTCATGGTCATGGCAGTCAGGTCAAATCGAGCCAGTCGGGTTTCTTATGTGGTTTACAGGTGTGGACGTCCACTGTTTCCTCACAGTCCCTGCACTCCACAGCGCAGCACCACTTGAACTTGCACTCGCATTTGCTCACACGATTTACACGCGTGGTGTCGTACCCACGGCCGCAGCACATGACCTCGCAGCCGTCCATGCCTCTGGAAGACTTGTTACACACCCGTCCTGCTGTACCCAGAGAACCTGATATATAGATGCAGAAATGCAATACATCAGGGTCATTATTTTCCATTTAGTAAAATGATTCCATTGTGAGTCTATAGGCCATTCACTTATTCAATCAAGATCTTTTTTCTTTAGAAAAATATTACATGGTAACTATAGTTTTTCCATGGGGCAACTGGGTATTTTCAAGTCTGGGTCATATAGTTGTTCACCTCAAAACCAAAAAAGAAACAAATAAATTATAATAAAATACAAATATAAATGTTATTTATTTTTAATAAACATGAACATTTAAAAAGCTTATAAAATGAAGCACATTTTACTTACTATTATAAAAGTTTTTTTCATGATGATTAAGCACATTTCTCTAGCGTAGTTGTCATAACTGTAATGTGTCTGAGTGCTTTATCTCTGATATTTAATTATCTATGTGTCATATCAATATTCTGGTGGTTCTCATTACTCTAATAATTGTAATAATTTTAATTATTACTGTATTACAAAAAAATATACTTGAAGGCAATTATTTTTATCTAAATTGGCAAATACTACGATGTATAAATTCTTTAGAATTTAATGCATCTTTTTTTGCATTGCATTGCATTACACTGCGTTGTAGTAGGGCTGGGCGATATGGGCAAAATATCTCGGAATTTTTTTTGCCGATTTGCGATATATGGTATATACAGTGGGTACGGAAAGTATTCAGACCCCCTTCAATTTTTCACTCTTTGTTATCCACTGAAAATCTGTGGAATGACTTGAAGACTGCAGTCCACAAACGGTCACTAGGGCTGGGCGATATGAGCAAAAATTCATATCTCTGTATTTTTTGGCCGATTTGCGCTATACGGTATATATCTTGGTATTTTCATTTTTGTATTTGGATTTTAAAAATCTGTATTTAATATATATATATATATATATATATATATTTCACTTACCGCCCAATGTTGTCCAACAAAACAATAAATATTAAAGGCTATGAAAACAAATAAAGTGAATGTAACCATGTAAGCCTTTATACTATGTGCAAAAAAGGGTTAAAATCACATTTCATTCTAACATTGTAACATTTCAATCTAAAAACAAAAATAAGGCTTTTAAAGTTAATTTCACTAAACTAAAAATGAAAATAAATGAAAACAAAAGCACAGAGTTGTGTAAGACTATTTTGATTGTCACTTTACAGTCAGTGCTATCATAAAAATAGACTTACTTGTAAGGTCTCTGTAAGCGGCACATGCAGCCTTTCTGGCCGAGCCACTTAAACTAATATGCGAAACGAAACTATAAACTATATCTTACCAGTTTTTAAAGGCCTTAATATGAAGCTTGTCACATGTTTAGAACAATTTGGATTATGCACTTTCTCCGTAGCAGCTCAGTCTGTGTCCTCAGCTATATTTTCAGATGCGCTCGTATCAAACTACTGTATATCGATATAAACGGTATTGCCTCATATCAAATCTTGTAAAGAAAATATCGATATATCGTACAAACTCGATATACCGCCCAACCCTACGTTGTAGTAATAAATTATTTGAGAAATGTGTTTAATTTTCATTAAATTTAACAATGCAAAATCTAAATAGTACTTACATAAGTTTTCTATTCTTTAAAATGCAAAATACAAATTCTTATTTTTGTCTTGGGACTTTGGGGTGAAATATGACTCTTTGGCAGAATTTTGCCCAATTTTTTGATATCCCAACTATCATGGTATAAAATCATTTAGCATGCTCTTTGTTGCTTACCTGCCAAACGGTCCATTAGACAATAGTCTGGAGAGTTCTCAGTGTATACTAGATCATTTTTGGTCGTTCTCTTGTAATCTCGGTCAGCAACCATGAAGCCTGAACCATCCTGGTTCATGGTGACCTCCACAGCAGTATTGTACTTCTTTCTCAAGTAGTCCCCTGTTCGCCGGAAATCAGACATAGCCAGCCAGCATGTCCTGAGAGCACATGACCCACTGACTCCATGACACTTGCATTCAGTCTTCATAAAACGCTTTACTGCCTAAAGAAAACAGAACTCAACCCATGACCTATGAACCACTCAATGACCCAGATTAAAAGACAAGCTCGAATTTTTATAATTAGCTTTTGTAATGTTAGGACATGTTATATAAACCCCTTCAGGATCATAACCTGCTTACCTGTTAGGGAGTATTTTGCAATGATAATCAATCAAATGTGATAATCTTGACCCTTACCATTCTTCCACAGCGGTTGTTGTGCAGATTCATCAGTGCTCTGGCATCTTTGACCATCCTCTCTCTGGCGTCCACAAAAGCTTTGGCAAACTTGATGCCGTAGTTGATGTTGTCGCTACAGCCACCCCAGTCAAAGTCGCCTTCTTCATCGCTCGTCCGGCCTCTCCTGTTGGTGTCGCAGCGACAGATCTTCAGCTCTCCTTGACTGCATGCTCTGGTGATGGCATAAACCACCCCGGCAGAGGAGATCGCATAAACGAATGCTGCTTCACGGCTACCTGATGAAAGAAAAGTGAGAGATTTTTCATAATGGCATGTTAAAAATGCAGTACAGTTCTACTGTAACCTTCAAAAAGTGTGGCTTACTTACAGTTGTCAGAAAGTGTTTTAACTTTAAAAACTTCGCTTTTCAGTAGTTTAATAGAGCCAAGAAAGTTGATGAGGCGTAAGGCTCTTACTATGGTGTTAAATCCACTGTGCTTTTGTTATATCAACTCTCTAACATCATCCCTAGATTTAAGCCCCTTGGCTGGCCTAAGTGCGGGAGGCCACCCTAGAGCTTTTAGACATTCAACTGATTCAGACTGACACGCCTTCACCTTTAGTTTCTTTGGTCGATTGCACTCATAGCCTTGAGGTGTATTTTTTCACCAAAGTAGCGCAAAATGACCCCTATTTTGCTCATTTTCCTCCTCCAGCTCACGCACTGAGCCAGAACAGAGGGTGATATGTCAAAAAGAGCAGCTTTGTCTGTCTGCCAGAGTCATCTGCACAAATATTTACATCTCCTATTACTGTTTATACATCAGCCTGCAGAGAACCCCCTCCCGACTAGCCACTTGTATTTGGAGAATATCCACTCTCTGTCAGACTGTCAGACTTCCATTCTTGGGAAGTGGAGATTTTAAAGCCCTTTTTCCCGACATCTATCCAACAGACATATTGATGGGATTGTTGTCTTGACTGCATGCTTTACACAGCTTTTGTTCTTGTAGCAAGTAAAGCTGTAATGTTGCACCATTTACTGTACAGTTATATGCCAACACCTCAAGCTGATTGACTAAAGCATAACCTTATGAAAACTTGTCTATGTTTACCCAAAGAAAAAAAGGCTATTTTAGGACATTTTTGGTCAGAATTCTCATATTTTTTTTTTTTTTACTTTTAAGATTTTGTTTGTTTGATTGTTTTGATGTGTTTTTGTTTTTCGTCTTTTCCATTGTTCTCAATTGTAGTAAGTTCACATTGGATTCCCGTTTAAAAATAACTTCAATACAATATTTTTATATTTAAAACATTGCATAAACAACCAAAATTACCATTCCAGTAGTAGTGTAAAAATATTTAGCAATTTAAATAATATATTTCATATAATTTTTTTATAATATTATATATTTATATAATAATTTAATAATATAACATTTTATATTATTTATAAAATGTTTATAAATATTTAAATATACTTTTGTTTTGAAAATGTTGTTACAATGCTGTCCTTAAATTGGCTTTTTCCTTGTGCAAAATATGCTTTCTCGTGTCTTTCTTTTGATTTTGGGGTGGTTCTACTAGCTTTGGTAAGACTCGCATTTGCACACAGCTTGATATTTTATGGAATATGATGCTTTTATACATGATACAAGGTTGCATAATTTATGCACGTCATGTCTTATTACTGTATGATTTTGATCTCAGCCATTGTTAGCAATAAAGTGTAACACAAACACTGACTGCGCAACATGACGCGGCCAAACACAGTATGGTCTCGCTCCAGCGTGCTGCAGTTCCAGCGATGGTGTCGGAACTGGTGCTGGCATTCTCGGATCCACTCTTTGGCTCCTTCTCCGATGGATTGCATGAGATCTGGGTGTCTTTGGCAGAGCTGCCTCTGCTTGTTCACCAGCCCTGGAATGTTGTCACATATGACCCGTGCACCTAACGCACCAATGTACCTGCAGAAACAAACAGAGACACATTAGTTGACCTAACATCTGCTAAATGAATAAATGTAATGTATAAGTATACATTACTATTGCAGTAGTTGCCCAATGTCTTGTGATTATAAATCAATTTAATGCATAATTATCAAATCAATCATGCTGAACATGAGAAACCCACTTTATAGTCAGCCTGCTCTTCTGGGTCCATCTCTTTTAGAGACTGAACCTTCAAAGTTCATGTCAGCCACACTTTAATACAATTTTTCAGGAATGCTTGATTCAGACGTGTCAATCATTCTGTGGTATAAATATTTTTGCATAGCGACCACTAAAAATTGAATAATGTTCCCATGTTCCCAGCCAATTGATTTCCTATAGCTGTGCTAGTTTCATGTCTCAGTCTGTTTCTTCACACATAATAAAATAATTTCAACTTAAATCAATATTTCATGTCCCTTTATTTAGGATATTTTGCAATAATGATACCCATATCCTACTTTACTGTGTCTGCAGAAACTTTAAATTTTCTGTTCACAGAGTCTTAAATACAGTTCACCCAAAAATGAAACTTCCAACCCAATCTCATGAGAAAACATAAAAATTTTACAAGACGGCCATTTCATATGAATTTGTATGATGTGATTCATGCACAAGTGTACGATTTTTAGACCAAGGTCCACCCCAACCTCATTTCATGAAACTGTCAGTGGAGCAAAAACGTGAATGAACAGTTTGTACAAATATATGAAACATAAAATAGTTGCGAATTTCCATGATGTTGCATTGGAAAATTCTGTCATCACAAACTCGGGTCGTTCAAAACCTGTGTGACTTACTTTCTCCTGTAGAACACAAAAGATATTTTGAAAAATTTATTTTCCAAAAGATATTTTTAAAAAAGTGTTTTTTTTCTCCATGCAATGAAAGTCAATGGGGTCCAATGTTGTTTTTGTGTTCCAGAAATGAATAAAAAGTCATACAGGCTTAGAACACTATGAAAGGGAGTAAGCGATGACATAATTTTCATTTTGAGACAAACTATCCTTTTAAGAGCTACTTCTTTCTCCATAATTTAGATACACCCCAATTTGTCCCATATCCCATGGTTCTCTGTTGACAAATCTCTACAAGAGTGCAGCAACAATTGACAATCTTGCATTAATATTTGTCATTATGTTGCAGGTTTCTTGTTAAACAGCCTGACAAATACCTGGTGGTGTCTGTTCAAGCGCCCCACACAGACACCCTCGGCGAGGTTTACGCTGTGCTCACACGCCCTTGTCTCCTTCCCGGATCTCATTATCCAGTCAGTTGTGTCTGGCTTTGTGCGACAGCACTCCGTACAAACCTACTGGACAATTTCCACTCCTCTTATGGCTGTCTCTATCGCTCTCTCTCTCTCTCTCACACACACACACACACACACACACATACACACACACACTGACATACTAGTGCAAACATACAGCCCAGCGAAAGACTTATTCCTCTCGCTATAGCATCCATGGGAGGGCCTGCTGTTGCCGGCTTTGCACGGTTGCCCTGTTGATCCTTGACACACAGAAACACAATCTCGCTCTCCCTCTCTGTTCCAGAACACTTATCAGCTGTATGCGGCTGGGACTGGGAAAGGCCGCTGCACGTGAGCCAGAAAACCGCTACGCGTGAATTGATTGCAACGATGACAACAATCCCCATAACTGTATAAATTACCGTAGGAACTAAGAGATATTTATCACCACTGGCTCACACGGTTTTGGGCACGTCGCCACGGCTGTCTTGCGGACTCACGCTGTCGAATCCCCGCTGCCTTATGGAGGGCAAAAGGGGCCATACGTATAGTTATTTCAACATAGATGATACAAACGATAACCCTTCTTTTCCCATTCATGAAATACGGTATTATTGTCTATCGTGAAAAAAACCCAGCATTCGTTTTAATTGAAAGTATCAAAAAATAGCATGTACTGAGATTATGTTGTTTACTCAGCTGTGGGGCACTAGGCAGTGCGCTGACTATGTTGATATTGCTACCTCTGAGACGTGATGGGGAACTTATGAATGCTGCAATTAGAGACGTTTTTAAAGGCGAAATCTGCCATTGTGTCATCATGTCTGGTGTTATACAGTGAAGAAATGGAGATGAAAAGCAATAACTTCAAAACTAAGTCACTTCAAATCTCTATCACCCTAGCAAGTGTGTTTATCTGGTGCGTTCAGCACACAAGTAGGTCTGCTGATCCAGCCAAGACCTGTCATAGTACAGTCTGGAATGTGTTGATCAATGTCACTTCAAGACATCAGACTCCTCTGTCTTTACTAACAACTGCCCTGAGAAATGATTAAACACAGTACTATATGCATTTCTGCCATCACCTTCCATCTAGAGCTATTTTTTTTTCTTTCTGATTGTATCATTTTTATCTGTTTTTTTTCCAATAATATTGGTGTGATTATACTTAGCTTTTTGCTATTTATTACTATTTATTTGCTATTTTAGTACTTTTAATTTGTGTCATACATAGATCACTTAACTGTACATTACTAACTGCTCTTCCGTTTGTTATCATGCTCTGGACCAAATTGGTCTAAAAATGTATATTTATATAGAGATTTATATATATATATGCTGCACCACAAGCACACATTATATAGGCCTACCTTTTCCATAATGTTAAAGTCAATTTAGACTCAAATGTATATTTATATTCAATGAAAAATAAAAATAGTATTATTTTGACATAGACTTTTTTTCAAACTTTAAATCCATTATTTCTCTACTGTAATCTGAAATGCTTTTTTTATTTTGTACTCTACTTTTCTAGATGATCAAATGTGTGATTATTATTTTTTAATCATGGATCATGAAAAAGACATAGATATTCACATAATTAAAGGGGACCTGAGTCATATCTAATGATGGACAAAAGTTGGAATTAGTTTACTGAATTCAGCCGTGCTACTGCATTAAGGAAAAATATGTGTTTCCCACCCTTGTACAAAAGTGAATGTATTAAATATGATGTAGGCCTACTTTATAAACTAAATTCAAATTTAAACACACTTTTTAACAATGGTTTCGTCCCAAAAAACGTTGCTTTTCTAGTTAAATTCTTACAGTCATAAGAATTTCTCTGATGTGCAGTTCATTTTTCAGCTTCCCTACACTAATCTGGGAATTTCCAACACAATTTGAAACCATTCCTGAATCAAACGAGATATTACACTGAAATCCCTTTTTTTGTGTTTTTATTTGATTCGAAATTAATTATTTATTGTTATGATTTGTCCCATATTGTGACACAAATTCAATGAGCGTACTTGTTATTGGGAACAGTTCTGTTAGTTTAATTTAGGTCTGTAGCTATGCACCTAACTTCGATTTCCAAAAGAAAATGAGTGGCTCTTGTGCCAATAAAACACTTAGAAACACTTTACCACCAAGACGAGTCCACACTGGGAGTGAACATGAGCAGCAGTAAGATGAAGGGCAGGTAAATCCTGGGAGCGGAGCCGCTCGGTTGACGGCGTGACTGAACTCCAGCAAACTCTCGCATGATTTACACGGTCAGTTTGCAAATGCTTCCAATTCCAGAAAAAAAAAGAAGAAAAAGTCACAGGTTCATAACAGCTCTTGAGATACTTTATTCTTCATGATTCAAATAGTGTATCTTTCCACGATAGAATCGATCAAATTACTCAGAATGAAAACAGAAACATCCATATAAAATACCGAGTATTCATTCGTATCCAAATTGAGTTCCTTTAAGTCGAATCTGAACGTGGTCGTTAATAGTCCAGTGAGTGAGGTACAGTATCTGTCCCGCAGAATCAGATCCAGAGGCAGGTCTCTGATTGGTGGGAGAGTCTGCGCGCTCATTGGCTGAAATCAGCACGAGGAGAAATGAGCGACGCGCGCGATGCTGTCACAGCCGTGCTTCTCAACACAACAGACGCGTTACTCTGACCACTTACAAAGAAGTAGACCATCGTTTTTGGACGCTACCACGATGGTAATACCATGTTTATTGTAGTAAAAATATGTCAAAATATATATAATTTAATGTCTATTTTAGTGAGGTAATCGTGCTGTACCATGGTATGCAGTGACTTATGCCTCCGACAGGCTAACCTTAACTGTCCGAAAGTATTTAGACACTTACATATTTAAAAAGTATGAATAGTTTTGCGTTCATAACAAATATCAAACCAGGTTTAATTTATTTTAAAGACAGATAGCACAAGAACATGCTTCATTATAATGTAATATCAGGCCAGACGTCCAGTGTTTGTTTAGGTATCAACATGCCGGACTGGCGTATGCTAGTCTATGTATAACTCAATGAATACCTTCTGAACAAAGATAGTAGCCATTGCTCATATATTTTGGGACGTGCCATTGTCAATGTACATAATCACCCCAGCTTGCTCATAAAATAGCCCACTGGTATTGGACGGCGGGGGGACTGCTTTACACACAGTAATACAAAGTAAACAACAAAGAGCTCCAGCAAGAATGTTTCTGGTCACTTTGACTCACACTCTGTCCTTTAGCTTCCTGCCAAAGATCATTAAAGGAGGACATGTGCGCATTAGGAGATAAGTTGGCGCAGAATCCACTTTGTTTGCATGCCATTTTATTTACTTACTCATATTGAAAGAATATAAATATGTATTTGAAGTCTTGGAAATAGACACATATATACTAAATATATATATATATAGGGCCGCTGCGGTCTCTTCCTGAAGTCCACAATCAGCTCTTTAGTTTTACTCACATTCATAGAGAGACAATTGTCCTGGCACCATGATGTGAGTTGCTCTACCTCATCCAAGTATGCGGCCTCATTGTTGTTGGAAATGAGGCCCAGAACCACAGTATCATCAGCAAATTTGATGATAGATGTGGAGCTGTGGGAAGACACGCAGTCATGTGTGTAGAGAGAGTAGAGCAGAGGACTCAGGACACAGACCTGTGGAGCTCCTACGTTCAGGGTGATGGAGTTGGAGGTGAACTGGCCTACTTTCACCACTTGAGGTCTACCAGTGAGGAAATCTAGAATCCAGTTGCAGAGTGAAGAATTCAGACTGAGGTCCAAGAGTTTAGAAGCTAGCTTGATGGGGACTATAGTATTGAAAGCTGAGCTATAGTCGATGAATAGCAGCCTTACATACTTAATAATGATTTTAACATAGCACTACGCCAAACACACCAAAAAAACAACAACTACATAATGTGTATGTACAACCACACACACATACATATATACAATTTATTTTAAAGACAGATAGCACAAGTACAATTTTAAAGCAAAACATTGATAGTTGGATATGTTTTAAATGATAAAACAATGATATATACAAGGCTAAAATGGAAGCAAAAAGTACTTGAACAAATAGTCTATCCATATCTATCTATCTATCTATCTGTCTGTCTGCCTGTCTATCTGTCTGTCTGTATATATATACACTGTAAAAAGTCATTCTGTAGGTTTGTAGATTTCATTAAATTTAATGTGCAAACTTTATTTAACAAAATTAAATTTTTTTTTTCTTCAATATTTTCTTAATTAAAATTAATTAAAAACGACTGGAATAAAACCTACTCAATTATGTTGTTAAGGATTTAGCTATTATTTTTGAATAATTCCAAATAGAGAGAATATTGAATGAATCCAACATGATGGAAATGAGCTGTTTTCAATTTACAAGCATTTCCTGTTACAACGCGCGGTTTAAATCAGCTCGTGAGCACGAGGCACGCATGCGCTGGAGTTTCCCGCTGACAACCTGGAGGCAAAGCCGATAGCCACTCTTTTTCAGTTAATTTCACAAAGGTAAGGAATATTATTTAATTTATATATGAAAAAAAAAACTGTTGTTCAAATTGTCTACTTTATGTAATATAGGCGTCAATCAAAAAAAAAATATTAGTTAAGGTCTGCTATTTAAAATAGATTGGTGATAGTGCTCTTGAAAAATAAAGATGCTAATGAACTGTTTGCCAATATTTTTGTAGATTAACGTTACTATCTTAAGTGACCTTTTGTGGCCTAATATCCACATCACGTATTGGTACGTTTGAACTAGGGTGTTGCTCATAAAGTGGAAAATCACGTTTTACACAGATGAATGGCTGAAGGGGTTCGTTTTAAAACTGTTTAACGTCAGCGCTGCCGTTGAACAGCGTGCACGTCGTTTCCATCACTCCAATGCACTTCTTTTCAATCCATCACGTTGGCATATTACGAATAATAATCCATAAACAAGTGCATTTTGTTGCACAACATCGTAAGGTTAGAAATCGAGCATCGAATTTTTTTATACGTTACATATGTGAGGACCTGACCTGGCGATCTGCCAGGACGTCACGCGCTAATCTAACGTTACAGTAAACACGGGCACACGAGCAACAATGAAAGCTTGTATGTATTTTATTTAAATAAAATCCCTCGAATCCAATCATTCCTCATTGTTACATGCTGGAGCTAGCAATTCGAGTAAACGGTCATTCTGCACGATCGCAATTGTACGGAAGCCCTGAACTTGGTTTATTTGGTGTTTCAGGAAAAAAAAAAATCGCTATAAATGTTAGATATTTTGGTATACAGTGTTATTAACATTCCACATTTCTATTAACATTGTTTTTGCAGACATGCAGAAGAGAATTTAAGCAGAAGAACAATGAAAAGATGATAAAGGAGATGGGCAAGATGAACAAAACATTTGCACATCGACGACACAAAATCATTATGATCAATGTCCATGTGTGCAAGACATAAAGGAATGATGGACAGCCCTGTTTCAACCTTCTCAAGTGAGTTAACAATGCTCGATCTTTAAAAAAAGCATCAAAAATATTAGTTAAGGTCTGCTATTTAAGATGGATTGGTGATAAGTTAGCTGGTGCTCTTGAAAAATAAATATGCTAATTCGTTCATGTAACATTAACTGTTTGCCAATATTTTTGTAGATTAATATCTTAAGTGACCTTTTGTGGCCTAATATCCACATCACGTATTGGTACGTTTGAACTAGGGTGTTGCTCATAAAGTGGAAAATCACGTTTTACACAGATGAATGGCTGAAGGGGTTCGTTTTAAAACTGTTTAACGTCAGCGCTGCCGTTGAACAGCGTGCACGTCGTTTCCATCACTCCAATGCACTTCTTTTCAATCCATCACGTTGGCATATTACGAATAATAATCCATAAACAAGTGCATTTTGTTGCACAACATCGTAAGGTTAGAAATCGAGCATCAAATTTTTTTATATGTTACATTTGTGAGGCCCTGGCGATCTGCCAGGACGTTACGCGCTAATCTAACGTTACAGTAAACACGGGCACACGAGCAACAATGAAAGCTTGTATGTATTTTATTTAAATAAAATCCCTCGAATCCAATCATTCCTCATTGTTACATGCTGGAGCTAGCAAGTAGAGTAAACGGTCATTCTGCACGATCGCGATTGTACGGAAGCCCTGAACTTGGTTTATTTGGTGTTTCAGGAAAAAAAAAAAAATCGCTATAAATGTTAGATATTTTGGTATACAGTGTTATTAACATTCCACATTTCTATCAACATTATTTTTGCAGACATGCAGAAGAGAATTTAAGAAGAAGAACAATGAAAAGATGATAAAGGAGATGAGCAAGATGAACAAAACATTTGCACGTCGACGACACAAAATCATTATGATCAATGTCCATGTGTGCAAGACATAAAGGAATGATGGACAACCCTGTTTCAACCTTCTCAAGTGAGTTAACAATGCTCAGACAAAAAGGAACATAATGTATCTGAAAACACCCTCTCAAAACGTGAAATTAATTTGACTCTCATTCCGTATTTCAGGTGAATGCAGAATTTCACAGAATAACCACTGTGCAGCTGGAACCTAAATTGGTCCTCACTGGATCTTCACACTTCCAAGCTGTTGACAACTGTTTCGTGCCAAAGGAGGAGCACTCGGAGAAAGACTGAAAACTGAGATGGAACTACTGAAAGTACAGTTTAAAATGAAGCATGCAAGCCATTTGGCTACTTGTTGTGTTATGTAAGGGTGAGAGGAATTGTTTATTCTTGTATTTTTCTTCATGATCAGCAGGTAGTACTTCCCCTTCTACTGTAAATTAAATATTAAACGTGATGATATTTAGGTTCTCAAACAAAAAAAAGCTGACATGCATTTATGTGTGACAACAGTTCAGTGAGGTTATGTTTTGTTGCCTTCAGTTAATTTCATGGACTTTCACAGAAAATATTAAATAAGTTGTTTATTTATATATGTTCAATTTCAATTATAGTATCAACTTCAGTTTCAAATGTAAATACAGAGGATAATACAGTGTCGGTAGGTTTTTATTCAACAACCTCTGTTGATAGATTCAAGCACTGTTTAATTGATAAAATTTACAAAAAATTTACTTCATCTGTTTTTTAGCCCATGCGATCAAGCCAAATGATGAAAGTAGCCAGGAACAAAATATTGTGGAGGCAAAAACACCTTGGGAGTGGCTTATACAGTTTGTTGCTCACCTGTTGACATTTTTTCCAGATAGTTGAGTTTCAGATCTTCTCGGTTGATCAATATTTCATAGGTTTTGAGTGTCACTGCTGTTTAATGTTACAGGACAATGAGGACCAGAAAGGAATTGAACAGCTTGTGATGGCAGTAATTGTGACCAAGAAGGGAACTTCGATTGACAGTCCAAAGGACATTGGAATTATTATCAAGGGGGAGAAAGTTGTTACAAGCCTTGAAG